GGGAGGGTAGGGGAGGGGAGGGGAGGGGAGGAAAGAAAAGAAGCCCCCAAAGAGGACCTAAAAAACGTAATATTGTTTCCATTGTTTGACGGATTTCTCCCTGGTTCCTTCAGACAGCTTTTCATTCTTCTCTTAATCTAGAGCCAGAATCGCCTTTTCAAGGACTGCTACATTTGTCCTACCTCCCTCCACTTCTGCAGTTCATTATAATCATGGATAAAAGACAGGAAATCCAGGTGGCAGTCTCTGAACAGTCTTGTGGCTAAATTTAGTCATGAGTCTTGAAGACCCCAGCACAGTTTTTCATTAGTTGTTGCTGCATAGTGACTAGCTAATGTAGATCAGTTGAGCTATAAGAAACATATTTAACTATTACATGTTGTAGAGTATATATAATACTTATGTATGTATGCATGTGTATATGTTACACATTTACATATATAATCCTTCTGTTAAAAAACAGAGGGTCAAATTGAACCCCTAACAGGTGAGGAAACTAAAGCCCAAGGAGCAGTGGGAATCCTAAGCTTCCATCACTGGTTGATTGTAGGGTCACCTGACTTCTACCCTGAGAACTTTGACCGTGCTTTCTTCTACCCTTCCTTTTTTTCTTTTTTTTTTGAGGGGGGAGATGTGGGAATATTTAAATAAAACATTTTAACTAACAAACAATTGTTAGGGCTGATGCTATTCTAACCCAGTAGATTTTGTTTGTTTGTTTTAATGAAGTATAGTCAGTTTACAATGTTGCATCAGTTTCTGGTGTACAGCATAATATTTCAGTCATACATATACATACATATATTCCTTTTCACATTCTTTTTCATTGAAGGTTACTACAAGATATTGAATATAGCTCCCTGTGCTATACAGTAGAAACTTGTTTATCTATTATATATAGTAGTTAGTATCTGCAAATCTTGAACTTCCATTTTATCTCTTCCTACCCTCTTTCCCTCCTGGTAACCATAGTTTGTTGTCTATGTTTGTGAGTCTGTTTCTCTTTTGTACATAAGTTCATTTGTGTCTTTTTAAGATCCACGCACAAGTTATATCATATGGTATTTTTCTTTCTTTTTCTGGCTTACCTTCACTTAGAATGATGATCTCCAGGTCCGTCCATGTTGCTGCAAATGGCATTATTTTATTCTTTTTTTTATTGGCTGAGTAGTATTCTATTATATATATATATACTACATCTTCTTTATTCAGTCATCTGTCAGTGCACACTTAGGTTGTTTCCATGTCTTGGCTATTGTAAATAGTGCTGCTGTGAACATTGGGGTGCATGTATCTTTTTGAATTAGAGCTCCCTCTGGATATATGCCCAGGAGTGGGATTGCTGGATCATATGGTAAGCCTATTTTTAGTTTTTTTAAGGCATCTCCATACTATTTTCCATAGTGGCTACACCAAACTACATTCCCACCAACAATGTTGGGGGTTCCCTGTTCTCCACACTCTCTCCAGCATTTATCATTGGTGGACTTTTTAATGATGGCCATTCTGACTGGTGTGAGGTGTAGTTTTGATTTGCATTTCTCTGATAATTAGCGATATTGAGCATTTTTTCATGTGCCTATGTAACCCAGTAGATTGTGAATGTTATTTTCTAAAGACAAAGGGTCTAGACCACCAAGCTACAAGATGGTGCAGCACATCCATGATGTCTGGCTGGTGGTCAACACAAAGAGAAAAAAGGTCTTTGGTGAGAGTAGTGGCCAGTCAGGTGACAGGAAGGGACAGGAAGAAAGCAAGGAAAAC